TTTAATTAATTTATTCATGTATTTATGTATTTATTTATTTATTTTTTATGGTCAATATTGTTTTTCCCCTTAAGAAATTATTTATTTATTTATTATGATCAATATTATTATTCCCCTTAAGAGATTTTTTTTAAATTAATTTTTATGGTCAATATTATTATACCCATTAAAAATGTTTATTTATTTATTTATTTATTTATTTATTTATTTATTTACTTATTTATTTACTTATTTATTTGTTTATTTATTTATATATTTATTTGTTTATCAATATTTTTATCCCTTTTAAGATTTTTTTTTTTTTTTTTTTTTTATGGTCATCATTGTTATCCCCTTTAGGAAATTATTATTAATATTTATGTATTCATTTATCTACTTTTTTTATTTATTTATTTTTATTATTAGTAGTAGTAGTAGTAGTAGTAGAAGTAGTAGTAGTAGTAGTAGTAGTAGTTGTTGTAGTAGTATTGTAACCTAAATAGTTAAGCCTTTAAATGTCACTTTAATCTGAATACTAGCATCTTGCAAAACGACTAGCAAAATATTATACACTGTCATCATGGCAAAGACAAAAGGAATTGGCTATTAGAAATTAGCTATTCAAATTTTATGTTTAAAAATGTACAGAGAAAAAACATCTCCATTTAAACATCTCTTGGAAAAGAGGGTTAATAGTTTTGCCTCAAATTGCTTATTATTTAAATTATTACCAAAAATACAGTACACTTAAAACCACTACATTCAATATTTTCCAGCTCTGCATCCTTCGTCCACTTTACGCCTTAGTTGTCGTTCTGACAGGATCAAGAAAGACAGAAAAATAAAATGGAAGCGCATGATGGAGAGTGGAGGATTAGACATGATGAAAGTGTACATGCGAGAGGGAGAAGCCTGAAAACAAAGCATTTGAGCGTTTAGTTGTTGTGTCACCGAGGGATTTGCAAAGGTAGTCAGTCCCCCGAGGACCCATAATGAATGCTGCCTGTTTTTCTAGCTCTCATTTAACACCCACATTCCCGAATAGAGCCTGTCTTTCACTTCAGATATCGCAGTCGGGATGCGTCTGGGGTTGTAATCCATCTTAATCTTCACCACAACATAAGCTGTAGACAAAAGGAAAGGTGCAAACAGAGACCTTAGCGGAGATATGATGCCAAAAGTGCTGTCTGTATTAAACTAAGTGGTTTTGTGGTGATACAGTGTCATTATAAATGAGATTACGTGCTCATCAGACAGTAAGAGAGAGAATCTCGCTAATTTGAGTCCGAGCTGGATCAGTTGGCATTTCTGTGTGGAGTTTGCATGTTCTCCTTGTGTTGGCATGGGTTTACCGGGTGCTCCGTTTCCCTCACAGTCCAAACACATGTGCTATAAGAGAATTGGATGAACTAAATTGGCCATAATGTATGTGTGTGTGTGTGTGTGAATGTGAGAATGTATGTAAAACACATGCTGAAATAGTTGGCTGTGGTGACCACTGATAAATTAGACACTGAGCCGAAGGAAAACTGATGAATGAATGTTTAAAAACACACTCGTCTTTTGTTCTATGATAAAAAGCAGAGATTTCATAGGAAACAACACAGAAAGGGTGTGATAAATGTGGATTGTTTGCTTCTGTTTATCTACTTCGGTGTATTGTGTTTGATTTGGTGTGTCTGTGAGACTTTCTTTAGTTCTTT